GCTAGAAAGATACCTGAATTCTTGGATAAAGTTTGTTGATAAACGAATTTGATCAACTATTTAAACAGTTAATATAAAGGATTAAGATGGAATTAAGGTGGTTTTATCGATAAAATATGGTGTTGTCTTAAGGAGTCACAAGTCGGTTTTTCGAATACAAGAAGTCGGTTTCTGATAAGAACTGAGGTGTTAAATGTTGTACTAAATGTTCCCCCCAAAAGATCCTCGTATCGAGTTTAATTCAGCTATTTATAGTAACTTTCGGCCCATCTTTTGAGGAGATTCGGCAGCATTTAATGCGTTATGACAACATAGGCACAACTTTTCCAGTTGATGGGTCCCCTAGCCATGATGTCTTCACGTGGGTCGATTCGTTTAATGAACGGCCATTTAATGTTGTCTGCGGTGGCTGACGTCGGCTCTCAAGGGTTACTACTTGATCGAAGTTGGCCTATTTGTCGAGGTTGGCTCGCTCGTTTAGCCGAGGTGATCCACATCCCCCGGTTTCTTCGCTTTCTTATTCATTAATATACACGTGTCACTGATCTGATCCACTAGATGGTTTTTATGTCAACACGGTTGATGAACTAAGCAATAAACTGGCCTTGGAAGCTTTCATGTTGCTTCTCTTGAGAATCTGAGAAGTATAGTGTTGTTGTGTTAAGAGCACCCCTTGTTTGGTGTAGTGAATTTCCATCCTCATGAAATAATGAAGATCCCCTAAATCTTTCAAGAAAATGGCAGTGGACAAAGAAGTGAAAATCTCCTCAGTAAGGGTTCGTGAGCTCTGTGTGATGGTAATGTCATCCACGTAAAGTAAAACGTAAAAAATGTGAGAAGATAGCACTTTAATGAACATGGAGGTATCATTAAGGAATGATTTGAAACCAAGGGTAAGAAGAACACGAGTGATCTTATCAAACCAAGATTTGGAGGCTTGCTTGAGACCATACAGAGCCTTGTGTAATTTGCCATAACCAGGTCCTTTATTTGATTCAAAACTTGGTGGCTCTTTAATGTATATGATCGTAGAATGATTTAGCTCCCCATTTAAGAAAGCATTATCCACGTCTAGTTGTTTGATCCTTCAATCATTTGATAAGACAATGGATGGAATCAATCTGATGGTCACTGGTTTAATAACTGGGCTGAAGATCTCTTGAAAGTCAATGCCAGCAATCACCACAAAATCGGGAATTTCGAATTAGGCAAAATACTATAACATGTATGTTTACCTAATTGTATCAAATCATGTTTCTTAAAAAAAAAATCAGATTGCATAGAAATCGGACTCAATTTCAAATTGAAAATTGAAATTTTAAAATCCCCTATCATTTGGCTATTATTTTCTTTAGTTTGAATTGTTTAAAAATAAAATAGAGTCAGATAATATTCATTTGCAATTCAAAATGAAATTGGATTGAAACATCCTAAAAATTTGAGTTTTGTTTAATCCTCTAAAATACAAATTTGATACAAAATAAATAATAATTGCATACACTTACAAATATCATATATATTATGCTAAATAATAATTGATTTATTTAAGTCTATTTCTAATCCTACCATAATTTGTTCTGATAGGCGATGTACCAAAAGATCAAACAAATAATGTTGTGTACGTATAAGGATATGTTTAATAATATATAAGTTACTTTTTGTTTATTGGCCTAATTGCCGGTAAAATCACGACCTTACAACTTTTTGTCGTTTTAACCAAACCTTTAAAATTTGGCCAAAGCACCACTTTGACTATTTTTTGGCAATTCAAATCACAGGGCCCAATTTCAGGCCCTGTATGTTGACGTGGTTGCTGACATGGCAATTTATGCTGATGTGGCTACTGACATGGCGATAAAACCTAGATTTCTGTCTTTGTCTACTAACGTGGTAATTCATACTGACGTGGCAATTTTATGTGGCTGTTGACATGGCAATCTTATGCTGACGTAGCGGTAAAAAAATTATGCAAAGATGGGGTTCAAACATGGGACCTCCAAATTGTATGTTGGCATTATAACCATTACATCAATCCAAGTTGTATATTAAATTTAGTAGACCTTATTATATATGGACACTAGGTATGTAAAAATCAAATTAAATTAAAAGTTAATATAAATTTTCAAATATATCAATCAAATATAAACTTGTACTAAGTAAATATTATACAATAAATTATATAATATTAAATAAAAACTAAACTAAAATAAAGTATTATAAAAATCGTCATAGTAGAGTGTATTTAAATTATATTAAATTTAAATAAATTTATATATTTCTTATTTATTAAAATAAAATTTATTATATAAATTAGTAGATGAAAAATAATAATGATTAAATGATATTAATAAATAAACTAGATTAAAGTACACTAATTAAAATAAAATAAAAATAATATATTATAAGATAATAAAGTATAAAAATTATAAAAGTAAAATAAATAAAATCAAATACTAAATCAATTAAAATAATAAATTAAAATAAATAGAAATCTTAATTGAATATAATAAAATAAAGAAATATTATTTGAGATTATTATAACTAATAGATTATTAAATTATTATATTAAATTTAATATAAATAATTTATTAACTTACTATATTCAAATAATAATAATTTAATATTTTTATTTATTTTAACTTAGTATTTAATATATATTATATTTTATTATTTTTATTTTATTTTAACCGGTGTACTTTAATAAATTTTATTTATTAATTTAATTTTGTAATTATTATTTTTCATTTCCAAATTTATATCATCAATTTATTTTAATGAATAGGAAATATATCAATTTATTTAAATTTTTTTAATTAAATTCACTCTACTTTAATAAATTTTATTTAACTTTATTTTATTTTATTTTTAATTCAATATAATATAATTTATTTGATTATATTTTAATTATTATAAGTTTATATCTTATTATTATAATATAAAATTTATATTAACTTTTAAATATAATTTGATTTATTCATACCTAGTGTCTATATTTATTAAATGCTACAAATTTAACACACATCTTGGATTGGTGTAGTGGTTATATATAATGCTGATAAACAACTCGGAGATCCCAAGTTCGAAACCCTGCGATGCTTAAATTTTTTATTTCCACGTCAGCAACTATTTCAACATTGAAGCGCCACATCAGCAACTACGTCGGCAGAAATTGCCACGTCGGCAGCCACGCCAACAGAGAAGGTCCGAAATTGGTCCTTGTGATTTGAATTGCCAAAAAATAGTCAAAGTGGTACTATGTTTGCTAAATTTTAAAAGTTTGGTTAAAATGACAAAAAGTTGTAAGGTCGTGATATTGCCGGCAATTAAGTCTTGTTTATTCCAATACATGCGTTTTAAGTTCTTCCAATCATACAAATCTAAATGTTTATCTTAATAAAACTAGCCCGTGCACGCATGGGTACCACACTAATTGAATCTGAATGTGAGCGAGACAAGTAAATAAAAAAAAGTGTGGGTCCATGTGGTATAGGTATAATTACCAACTTACCCTTAATTATTGGTCAAATACACCTATTTGACCACAATATATCAAGTAATTATCAAATTGTCATTAATGAATAACCATTATTTATAAAAGTTTTGACTTCATCATGACTATTGACTTGATGAGTCCAATGATGTAGATTCATTCTTATCTCTTTCACTATTTCTCTTTCTTATTGATTCATTCTATATTATATATATATATATATATATATATATTTATATATCACGGCCACAAATATTAACGTTAATTATTTTAATAATATAAGGTGGTACGATAGAAATAATGGTAAATTAAATATTGGTAGTTATAAACATTTTTCTAAAGATCGGACTAGGCGGTGCTCGGGCACCTTCGATTTGCACAAATCGGCAGAAAAAATCAGCCAGACGGCTCTAGGCGCTCCTAGGCGGACTTGGCGGCCTTGACGGTTAGGCGGTTAGACGGCGACTAGGCGGGCACAGGCGGACCTAGGCGCCCCTAGGCGGGCTCGGCGGCAATTTTTCAGTTTTTTTTTTTATTTTTTTTTTATTTTTTTAATACTAATTACATTATTTTGTTCTCATGTTTTCTTTAAAATGTATTAATTTTTTTATTTGAACTTAGGTGTGTCGATTTATTATAAGTTGAGATAATTTTATTTTGAATGTAGTTAAAATAAATAAAAAATAAGGTATGTAATATTGTTTTCTAGATCCCAACTAAGTGCAGCTTGGGCCCCGCCTAGACGCTCTAGGCGTTAGGTGTTGGTCGAGAGCCTAGCGACTTCTAGAACACTGGTTATAAATGTGTGAGTAGTTAGATAAAAAAAATAAATTTTATAAAAACCTATATAATGAATAATTGTTATTGTTTACAAATTATATTAAGAAAACTGGAAAGAGAAAACGTGAGATGAATGTTTTTTTTTTTTTTTAATGACTTCTTTTAAAGGAATTAAGATGTATTCAATTTCACATAATTCGCCCCTTTCCTGTAATCAATACATAGCCAAAGCAAGAGATTAACCGGTCAAAAAAGTCATACCCAAAGAGAGAGACATATTTAATTGTCTTCCTATCTTTTTTTCGGAAATGTTACTGTCCTGTTACAAAATTATTCCACCAAAATTTATAATCGTTGAAATCATTATGTAACTGTTAGAATAGTTTATTTAATGATTACAAATCTCGACGAAATAATTCTGTAACAGGACGTACAACCTCCCATCTTTTTCTCATAACTCATGGAAAAAGCTATAAGGAAAGGAAAGAAAAGTTGAACCGGCCAGAAAGTCATACCCAAATAGAGGGTTAACTTGTGAAGCCCTCACACAAATACTCCCATACCTCAACTGGAAACAAGATGTTTAAACATCAAACATGGATACATTTTCATTAAATTCTTACCACCTAATTCGTGCGCCTACTGACTTTTTATAAAACCCTTACAGCACAAACAAATAAACACACACACAATTTATCTGCTCGATCGAACAAAAAAAAAAAAAAAAAAAATGGACGAATTTACATACCTTTCAGTTTTCGTGGCAATAACATGTTTCCTCGTCCTCATAGCCTGGAAAAACTCGAGGAGCCCGATTTTAGACTGTCCCGTGCTCGGCATGCTGCCGTCACTCCTCCTCAGCGTCGGCCAAATTCACGACGCGTGCACGGAAACCTTCGCCAAATCCGAGCGTGGGACCTTCCGCTTCCGCGGCCCGCCGTTCTCCGGCATGGACATGCTCTGCACGGTGGACCCCGCCAACGTGCACCACATCCTCACTGGAAACTTCCGGAACTTCCCCAAGGGCCCCGCCTTCCGCGAGATCTTCGACATCCTCGGCAACGGCATATTTAACTCCGACCACGGCCCGTGGAGGGAGCAGCGGAGCCTCGCCCGGATCCTTCTGGCCCGCCCGGCCTTCCGCCGTTTTCTCGCGAAAACGAGCCTCGAGAAATTAGAGCGAGGAATTATTCCGGTCCTCGAGATGTTCTCACGAGAAGGTCGGGTGGCCGACCTTCAGGACCTGTTCCAGAGGTTCACGTTCGACACGACGTGTGTCTTGGTGGCCGGGCACGACCCGGGTTGTTTGACGACCGATTTTCCGGACGTGCCCTTCGCTCGGGCCCTGGATCATGCTGAGGTGTCGGTTTTCATGCGCCATGTGGTGCCCGAGTGGGTTTGGAGGCTACAGAGACGGGTTGGGGTCGGGGAAGAGAGAAAGTTGAGGGAGGCTCGGGGGATTTTGGATAGTGTCATAAATGATTTTATTGTTAAGAA